AAACTGAGATTCAAAATAATTAACTTGCCATGGTTGGAAAACTTGTAAATAACTGAGCCACGATTTTGAAAATTAAATTTATCTGCCTTCGAAGCCTATGCTCATTTTATGCATACTTCTTTTCAGATACTTTAAAGCAGTGGTCTCCAAGACAATTCCTTTCGATAAGTATTGTTTGTGCTTACATCTACAGTATTTAAAAATTATGTCTACTGTAAAAGTCACAAATAGACATTTTAAAAGGATGAGATAAAAAATAAGTATGCCTAGAAGTTCTAATTTCCTTTCCACAATGAGCTAAGTTATCTTGCATATACCCCCCAGATGCACTCTACTACATCTTCTCCAATACACATACATCAATTGGGAAACTATTATTCTAAATAGTACTGATTTTTTCCAGTATTGAATACCATCGTCCTTTGTAATGTTCTTTTATTCTTGATACTTTTCCCTTTCTTAAAAGCTTTAATTCCTACATGTCTAACTACATTAAATTCTTATACTAAACTTGAGTTTTGCTGTTCTTATTTATCTTCTTTTATTTCTAGGTTCTTAAGTTGGAAATACATCCACATAAAATCTCAAATAGCTCCATCAATAAAGAATTTATATAAATTCTTATATAAAATCAGAATTTTTTAAATGGCTATGAAGAAACTGTATGAAGAATTGAAAACTATGTCTCTGATAGACTGAAAGCTTTCTGTCAAAAGGTTTATAGAATTTAAGTAAGAAAACCAAACTTAGGTAGGGAAAAAAAGGAAATACTTCTGTAAAACTAAAATCAGCTTTTTAGTATAAGCAGCAAGTAATCTCTGAACTTCACAGAAAGTGAAATTTGTTCTTCGAGTTAAAGAAAAATCAGTCAGACGGTTGTTGATCAGTTTATAGGAAACCAGGAAAGTAGTAATCAGATTGCAGTATGTGCTTCATTAGAATTCAACAAGCCTACATTAAGCTTCATTAGAAGTATGCTGTAAAATATTTCTATCTAGTTTAAAACGCTTAAATCTGGTTTTGGGTTACCTTTTACCACTATGAAGTACAATCCAATATAAAGTAAAATCTTCTCAAATTCAGATTTTGCTGTCCAATTCCTTCTAGATGTTCGAATCTTTCTCCTACCTAAAACAAACTTGTCCTCTTTCAAACCAACACATAGCCACTTTATTTTATTTATTTATTTATTTTTGGTCTTTTTGTCTTTTTCCGTGTCCGGCAACGGATCGCAACCCTCAGTGTTGCCTCCGTACCGGACCGGGGACCGGCAACGGGATCACAACCCTCGGCGTTGCCCCCGCGCCTCGCTCAGCCAGTGAGCGGGAACCGGTCTGTATGTGGGATCCGAACCCTCGGGCGGGAGTGCCGCCGCGCTTCCCAAGCGGCGCACTTATCCAGTGCGCCACCGGGCCGGCCCCTACATAGCCACTTTATTCTAAACTAGTATTTCTTCAGATTATGAGACCTACTGGCTACCTCCACACTGAGGAGGCTCCTTAAGCCAGTATTTCTTAATTGTTTACCTAACATTCCACTCCTTCACTCCCAACCAATTATCACCTCCACTGAGAATACATGTGCTAAATTACCTTTCATAAAACTTTACATTATAAAGTTATGAGAGCCTATTTTTAAAAATAATATGATAAACTGAATATAAAGAGAAGAAAGCTTATTTCTATTTCTTAATAACTTTCAAAAAGTCCATTTTTCTGAACAAATTCCTAAAATAATTTCAAAACATGGAAGAGACAAAAGCAAGGTTGGAAAGAACTGGAGTTGTTAAGAGACAGGCATCCAAAGAAAGTTTGGAAACTGCAAAGGATTTATTGATTGTAGAAATATTTGGTGCTAAAACTCAGACAACTAAACAGTTACAGACATGGAAAACTCAAGACAATCACACTTACTGAAAAGGAAGAAGGGAAAGGAAAGAATTACCAACGAAGTTCTTAAAGCTGAAATCACTCATTTTCACTGTCTTCCCCTAAGTGGCCTGACTACCTGACTCCAACAATGTTATTTCTGCCTGAAGAATAGGAGGCAGCATTGTTCATGACATAGGGTCGATCTATTACAGATCATTTTTGTTTGGGTTATTACTATATATGGAATAACTTACTTATCAGACATCTCTACACGGACTTTCATGAGTGATTCCAATTATAATAGTAGTCTTCACACTGACCATCTTGCTCTATCTACTCTATCTTTAAAATTACTGCTTGAGTTATTCTTCTAAAATCCTGTTTTGTTTAGGCAATCTCATGCTACCTCTATATCTAATGTGTACTTCTATTTCTGTATTTACACCACATTGTAATTATTTATGAAATTCTCAGTTATGTATTAGATTACAAATTGCTTGATAAAGAAAGATATTATCATTTATTTTTATATTCCCAGTGCCTACCACAATGCCAAGAAGTTTTACATGATGAATGCGTGCTGAACTGAACCGTTGGACTGCTAAGCACTTTACCACACACATATATGATGCACAACCAAACTGACTTTTGAGAAAGGATTTTTCTAAGTTTCTATCAAAACAGAATTACCTGATTGAGAAAAGCTCTTTTCTCTCAGTTATCTGTGTTTAGAGTTCACAATGCTTGAGGCATATACATGTAATAATATTAAAGTAGGGGTCACTACCTCAAATACTCACAGTGACCACAAAGTCACTATAAATGAGTGAAAGCAAGGATGAACATAAAATAAGGGAAGGAAGTGGCAATCTGAAGACAATGCCCAAAGCAGGAACTCCACTTGAATATAAGCACATAGGAATACAGATCATGTGGCCAGACCTTTAAATGTTCAAAAGAAACTGGAAATATGCCCTTCCCCTTACGTTCTTCTTTTTTTCTTACTTTTTAATATCATTTCTTGATTTTAAATCTTGGCCACTTTTTTTTTTCTTAAAAACAAAACAAAAACCACTATATAAGCCAAGGAAAACAAGCCTGCAGGATTAATTTGGCCTGTAGGGCATCAGTTTGTGACCTCTGAGAAGATGCAACTTCTTCAACTGATAATGACAGATTATATTTGGTTTGGTTCAAGGAATCTAACCACTGCTCTGATTTTTCTTATTTACTCTTTGCCTCCTCCCTCAGGTTTATATCTATGCAATCCGTTCTCTCTCTCAATAGGATGCAACCATACTGGTTTTCATAAGTTTTCAGCCTGGAAAGCTACCCACTTCTTGAAGTATAAACCACCCCTCCCCCAATCCCTCAAACTGGCTAATTTTTACTCTGGTCTCTACTTCTGGAAAGCATCCTATGATCTTTCCTAGACTAGATTAAGTACCCTGTTAAACATATTCTCCAATGCTCTTTCCAACCGCACTTGTCATAATTATAACAACCATTTCTGTAACCAGTTCTTTAATTACTACTTCCCTCCCAGGACTATAAGATCTAAAAGGGTATATTTTGTTCATTACTATATTCCAATCAAGCATGGTGTGTGACAGGCATCAATAAATATTTGAAAGAAGAAATAAAAGCAAATTTTTATTATCATACAAAAAGGAATGAACTAAAAGACTGCAAAGTTTGAACTTTTCCCCTGAGACAAAAGGGGAGATTTTCACTTTAACTACTCTGTTCAATAATTCCAATTCCCTACAGCGTCTACTAAATCTGTCTTGTTCTGAACATGTTGTAATATATCTCCCATTATATAAGTGTATTTTGTCAAGGTGAATTTACATTTCAAACATTTTTTGCTTTATATATTAGGTTGTTTGCTTCACAAAAATTCTTCCCTATTGTTTTTTCTTCTGTTTATTTGTACATATTTGTGGGGTACAGTTTCTTGTTTCAATACTTGCATATACTGTACACTGATTCACATAAGGTAGATAGCATACTTTTATACTTGCTAGTTCACCACTTCTCCCCCGCCCTTCCCCTTCCCCTCCCAGCCTCTGGTAAATTATTTTACTCTCCACTTCTATGAGAACCACTTTTTAAAAAAAAATCCACATATAACTGAGGTCATGTGGCATTTGCCTTTCTGTGCCCGGCTTACTTCACTTAACATGATGGTTTCTAGATCCATCCATGCTGCTGTAAATGACATTTTTTTTGTTTGTTTGTTTTTTTCATAGCTGAATAGTATTCCATTGTGGAGGTATATCACAGTGTTTTTATCCATTCTTCTGTTGATGGGCATTTAGGTTGATTCCATCTCTTGGCTGTTGTGAATAGTGTTGCAGTGAACGTGGGAATGCAGATGTCTCTTAGGTATATTGATTTCATTTCCTTTGGATATATACCCAGTAGTGGGATAGCTGGGTCAGAGGTAGATCTATTTTAAGTTCTCTGAGGAACCTTTGTCTGTTTTCCACAATGGCTCTGCCAATTTATATACCCCCCAACAGTGTAGGAGAGTTTCCTTTGCTCAGCATCCTTGGCAGCATTTGTTATTTTCTGTCATTTTGATAACTGGAGTGACATGATAACTCATTGTGGTTTTAATTTGCATTCCCCTGATGATTAGTGATGAAGAGCACTCTTTTATGTGCCTACTGGCCATTCATATGCCTTGTTTTGAGAAATATCTGTTCAGGTCCTTTGCCCTTTTTTTTTTAACTGCTTAAAATTTTTATTAAATCAGAATTAATTATACATATTTTGGGGGTTAAACGTTGAGATATGTTGATCAAATCAATATTACTAGCATATATATTGTTAAAAATCATACTCATTCCTTATGCCTTTTGTCCAATTTCACCCCATCTCCCTCACCCTCCCAACTCCCCCCTCTAATTACCCTAGATTTCTTCTCTCCTTCTGAAAGAATAATGGTTATTTTAGATGATCTATCCAGTGCTGAGAGACGTGATCAGTTCCCCAAAAATTATCGTAGAGCAGATGCTTCTAATGTCACTTTGGAATGAGCTTTGTGAAGAGAAACACCCTTTTCTTTTCTTTATCTCTGCTGGTAACTCTCCTTGTGTCAACGCACTCCAGTGGCTGGCAGACCAACTGCGAGGTGGTTGGGGCATCCAGCTGCTTTCGCGGCAGCCATGGTTATTGTGGTGGTTGTGGTGGGCCACCCACATGGAGGTGATGTTTTTGGCATGCTCCTGGGCACTGGCCATGTGCCAGTTTGTAGGAGAGGGGTCCAATCCCTGGCTCCATCCCTCGGGTCTCTGGGTGGGCCCCGAGGCACTGGCACGGTGTGCCAGTTTGTGGGAGGGGGGTCCAGTTCCCGCCTCCATGCCTCAGGTTCCTGGGCAGGCTGGGCCCCAAGGTGCTGGCACAGTGTGCCTGGTTTTGGGAGGGGGGTCTGGTCTGGGGCTCCATGCCTCAGGTCCCCAGGTGGGCCCCGAGGCACTGGTGTGGTGTGCCAGGTTGTGGGAGGGGGGACTGATTCCTGACTCCATCCCGTGGGTTCCTGGGCCAGCCTCGAGGTGCTGGTGTGGTGTGCCAGGTTGTGGGAGGAGAGTCCGGTCCCCATCTCCATCCCTCGGGGCCCCAGGTGGGCCCTGATGCACTGGCACAGTCTGCTACGTTGTAGGAGGGTGCTCCGGTTCCCGGATCCATGCCTTACGACCCTGAGTGGACCTGAGGCACTGGCGGTGTGTTGAGCCAGAAGTAATTATTTTGTCCTTTGCTTACTTCTAAAGTGGAGGAACTTCCTGTTGGGAACAGTATTTGAGCTCTGTGGTTTAGCTAAATTGCTGCTTTGCTGCTGCTTCCCTAGGGAAGGCTCTTTGTGCAGCACAGGTTATAATGGCTGACCTTATAAGTATTTCCGGCTCTACAGAGACTTGGTGCACCTAGGCTTTGTAGTAACTCTGATCTGGGCCTGAGTCTTTTCTTTAAACTGCACCCTATGCAATTTTATATTCCTGACCAGTATCCTCTGAGTGGTCCTATGCTGATTCGGGTGCAGATAAGCTGTCCTTGCTGTGCCCCAGTGTTCCCCCAGTGGGCCCATCTTACCCACTGCCTGCGCTGCAAACACTTCCTTTGGGGTGGGCTGTGCACCAGTCCCTTGTGATGACTCACTGGCCTCTAAGTGGCTCCATTTTTTCAGTTGTTGTGGCTCCTCTTATGTGGCTCCACGGGAACCCTCTTAATGGTCTTGCTGGCCTGGGAGCCACCAAGGTCCTCTTCTCCACTGCCGCCTCCAAGCTACTCCATCCAAAGCACACAGCTGCAGCTTTTGCCGGCTACTGCTCTGTGTGCTCAGCAGTTCAAGCCTTAAAGCAGCCATGGCACGAAACGGTCAGAGCAGTTTTCTCTTTCTCTCATTGTGGCTTCTCCCACCTTCATGCACTCTATAGGTCTCTCCTCCTCTTCCCCTGAGTTCTAGCAGCCTCAGCTTGGATGTTGCTGCTTTTTCATATAGTTGTAAATTGGTTGACTTCTGGGAGAGAGTGATGCTGGGAACCATCTATTCTGCCATCTTGACTGGAACTTGTTTGCCCATTTTTTAATTGGATTATTCGTTTTTTGCTGTTGAGTTGTTTGAGTTCCTTATATATTCTGGGTATTAACCCCTTCTCTGATGGGTAGTTTGCAAACACTTTCTCCCATTCTGTAGATTATCTCTTCACTTTGTTGACTGTGCCTTGCTGTAGAAGCTTTTTAGTTTGATGCAGTCCCATGTGTCTATTTTTGCTTTAGTTGCCTGTGCCTTTGTAGTCTTGTCCAAAAAAGTGCTGCCCACTCCCATCTTGTGTGGCATTTCCCTTACATTTTCTTCTAGTAGTTTCATAGTTTCTGGTCTTAAACTTATTTCTTTAATCCATTTTGAGTTTATTTCTGTGTATGGTGAGAGATGGGGTCTATCTAGTTTCAATCTTCTGCATGTGGATATCCAGTTTTCCCAGCACAATTTTTTGAACAGGCTATCCTTTTCCCAGTGTATATTTTTGGCACCTGTTTTAAAAGACCAATTGGCTTTTATCAAATGCTTTTCAGCATCTATAGAGATGATCATATGGTCCTTGTGTCTGATTTTACTGATATGGTGTATCACTGATTTGCATATGTTGAACCAACCTTGCATCCCTGGGATGAATCCCACTTGATCACAGTGTATAATTTTGTGTATGTGTTACTGTATTCTGTTAGTTAGTATTTTATTGAGGATTTTTGCATCTATATTCATCAAGGATACTGGCCTGTAGTTTTCTTTGTTAGTTGTATCTTTACCTGGTTTTGGTATCAGGGTGATGATGTTTGCTTCACAGAATGAGTTTGGGAGAACTGCCTCTGTTTCAATCTTTTGGAATAGTTTGTAGAGAACTGGTATCAATTCCTCTTTGAAGGTTTGGTAGAACTCTGCAGTGAACCCATCTGGTCCTGGGCTTTTCTTTGTTGGGAGCCTTCTGATAACAGCTTCAATCTCCCTTATTGTTATTGGTCTGTTCTGGTTTTCTAAGGTCTGTTCAGATTTTCTACATCTTCTTGGCTCAGTTTTGGTAGTTTGTGTATGTCCAGAAATTTATCCATTTCCTCCAGAATTTCAAATTTGTTGGTATATAATTGTTTATAGTAATCTCTAATGATTCCTTGTATTTCAGAGGTATCAGTTGTAGTATCACCTTTTACATTTCTAATTTTTGTTATTTGGGTCTTCTCTCTTCTTTTTTTTAGTTAGCCTTGCTAATGGTTTGTCAATTTTGTTTATCTTTTCAAAAAACCAACTTTTTGATTCATTGATCTTTTGTATCATTTTTTTGGGTTTCAATTTCATTAAGTTCTGCTCTGATGTTAATGATTTCTTTCCATGCGCTAACTTTGGGTTTAGATTGTTCTTGTTTTTCTAGTTCTTTAAGGTGAAGTATTAGGTTGTTCACTTGCCATCTTTCCATTCTTCTGAAGTGAGCATTTAATGAGATAAATTTCTCCCTTTTGCAGTATCCCACAGGTTTTGGTATGATGTATCATTGTTTTCATTAGTTTCAAGAAATGTTTTGATTTCCTGTTTGATTTCTTCTTGGACCCATATGTCATTAAGTAGAATGCTGCTTAATTTCCATGTGTTTGTATAGTTTCCAGAATTTCGTCTGTTATTGATTTCTAATTTTAATCCATTGTGGTCTGAAAAAATATTGCAGATAGATCTACCATATGACCCAGCTATCCCACTGCTGGGAATATAGCCAGAGGAATGGAAATCATCAAGTTGAAGATATACCTGTTCTCCAATGTTCACTGCAGCACTATTTACAATAGCTAAGAGTTGGAACCAGCCCAAATGTCCATTATCAGATGAGTGGATATGGAAAATGTGGTATATCTAGACAATGGAATACTACTCTCCTATAAAAAAGAATGAAATACTGCCATTTGCAACAACATGGCTGGACCTAGAGAGAATTACATTAAGTGAAACAAGTCAGGCACAGAAAGAGAAATATCAAATGTTCTCACTTATTTGTGGGAGCTAAAAGTAAATAAATAAATAAACAAACTTGGGGGGGGAGGAAGAATACACAACAATTACAATTCCTTGAAGTGGATATGACAAGTGAACAGACGGGAGGTTGTTGGGAGGGAGGGGGAGAGGGAGGAGGGAGGGGGGATAGGAGGAGGGAGGGAGGTTTTGGTAAAGGGCCACAATAATCAACCACACTGTATATTGACAAGATAAAATAAAAGTTTAAAAAAAACCCAATTGGCTATAAATGTGTGGGTTTATTTCTGGGCTCTCTGTTTTGTTGGTCAATTTGTCTGTTTTTATGCCAGTGTCATGCTGTTTTTGTTGCTCTAGCTTTATAGTATATTTTGAAGTGTGGTGGTGTGATCCTTCTGACTTTGTTTCTTTTGTTTAAGATTGCTTTAGCTGTATGGGTCTTTTGTGGTTCTATGCAAATTTAAGATCTTTTTTTCTATTTCTGTGAAGAATGTCATTGGTATTTTAACAGGGATTGCACTGAATCTGTAGATTGCTTTGGGTAATATGAACATTTTATGTTACTTCTTCCAACCCATGTACATGGGATATCTTTCCGCTTGCTTATTTGTGTCTCCTTCAATTTCTTTCACCAATGTTTTATAGTTTTCATTGTGGAGGTCTTTCACCCTCTTTGTTAAATTTACTCCTAGCTATTTCCTTTTTTTGGTAGCTATTGTGAACAAGATTACTTTCTTGATTTCTTCTTCAGATTGCCTGCTATATTTTATTGAGAAACTTTACCTTTTACTTACTCATTTTCCTCATGTCTCTCTCTACCTGATTTAGTATTTTTAGCCTTAAATTCTACCCTTTTTGGCATTAAGTACTGCCATTCCTCTTTTATTTTTACTTTTTAAAAATACCCTTGGCCCAAGCTTTATTTTCATCTCCTCAACCATTTTATGTCTATGAGGGTACTTCAAAAAGTTCGTGGAAAAAAAGAATGAAAAGATAATATGAATCTTTCCACAAACTTTCTGAAGTACCCTTGTATATTCTCCCTTCGTGATTTCCCTGTCTCAATGATTTTAAACACTATATATGCTAATGACTACAGCCTGGACCTCTTTCCTAAACTCCACACTGGTATATCCAACTGCCTATCTGACATCTCCATTTGGATGTCTGATAACCATCTCAAACTTGAATATAGCCAAAACAGGTTCCTTGTATTGTTCTTCACAGCACCTCTTTCTGCAACACTCCCCAATTTTGATTAACAACTGTTTCTTTCAATTGTTTTGGCCCAAAATCTTATCTTTGACTCCCATCTTTCTCACCCCACCGTTAGATCATGAGCCTCTACCATCAAAATATATCTGTAATTCAACCATTTCTGAGCCACCATCTTCCCATACAGCCTATTGATTGGTCTTTTCTGCCCTTGCCACTCCTTGGTAGTTTAATACAGCAACCAGTGATTCTGTTAAGCTAGAGGTTGGATTATGTCACTCCTCTCTGCTCAAAATCCTTCAGTGACATCCTTTCTCATTCAGAACAAAAGCCAAAATCCTTAAAATGGTCTTCAAGGGCCAGCCCGGTGGCGCACTGCTACAGTGCGCCGCTTGAGAGCGCGGCGGCACTCTCGCCGAGGGTTCGGATCCCACATACAG